GGTCTTAGTACAGTCTATTTTATCCTGTAATCTACCTCACCTTCTTATTGTCTGGATCTCTGTTTCTACGTGTCCACCTTCTTTTGCATTGTACTTGTTTTGGTCATAGCCTGCCCTCCCAGAGTCTCTGAGTTTGTTCTTATAGTTTTGTTAACATTTCTTCTTTCTGTTGACTTTATTCAGGGAGGTGTTGTCAGATACGTCAGTCTCTGGTTGTTGTCTGTTCTTGGTGGTTCTCGGTCCACAGAACTCCCTTTTGGATGTTTTGTAGCGTAAGGTTGGCTTTGGTGAAGTCCCATAGCTTCTGTTAATCCTGGAATGTTTTGATTACACCCTCATATTTGATTGATGGCTTTGCTGGATAAAGGATTCTTGGTTGGCAGTTTTTTCTTGCACGGTTTTATATATGTCTCCCCATTGCCTTCTCGCTTGCATGGTTTCTGCTTAAAGGTCTGAGCTTAGTCTGACTTGTTTGCCCTTGTATGTGACCCTTCTGTTTTCTCTTGCTGCTTTCAGGAGTTTCTCCTTGTCTTTGAGTTTGGAGAGCTTGACTATGATATGTCTTGGTGATTTTCTTTTGGGGTCCACCCTTCCTCGACTTCGTTGGGCGTCTTGTATGATTATTTTTTTGCTTTTTAGGATGTTAGAGAAATTTTCTTCCAGTAGTTTTTCAACTATTTCCTCTGTGGACTTGTGTGACTCATTTTGTTCTGGAATGCCAATAATTCTTAGGTGATTCCTCTTCATGTTGTCCAACATGAATCTTAGACCTTCCTCTGAATTTTTTACCCTTTTTTGGGTTTGTTCTTCTGTCTTAGTGGTATCGAGAGACTTGTCTTCCACCTCACTGATTCTTCCTTCCCTCTCATCTATTCTACTCCTTTGCCCTTTCAAAGAATTTTCTATTTCTGCCATTTTGTTGTGGATTGTTTTGACCTCTTTCTGTAGGTTTTGGAGTATTACCAATGCTGTATCTATCTTGTTTGATTGTTCCTGTAGCGCTTTTCTGACTTCTTCCTTATTTTTCTCAACTCCATTGTAAAGTGTTTTGAAACATTTTCTAATCATTTTTCTGAATTCTTTATCAGGTATTTCCAACGCCTGCCCTCCTTCCAGCATGGAGAAAAGGTCTACTTCTGGTTCACTTGTCTCAGATATTTTATCTTTTTTCTGGACATGTGGTGATATGGTCATCTGCTTTTGCTTCTTGGACATGTTTAATGTTTATCTGTGGCCCTAATAATTAATTATGTATTTTGGCAATTTTTTTTCTATGTTTT